CCCCCGTAATATTACTTTGTTGACTTATAATACTAACATATAACATTTCTATCGCACAAATCCGTGTTACAACAATGTTTGTTCCATGCGCTTTACAGAACATTCAAGAAGAACGTCATGCTTATGTTCCGCGCAATTTACAGATCGGCTTAAGATTGCGTGTTTTAACGATCGTATAATTGACCGGCAATCTTAAGATTGCGCTGAACATTTTAACGATTGTAGAATTCACTTCCATCTTTATTCTTTCACTCACATCAAGGAACATGCACGTTTATTTTCAAAAGTGAAAAAAATATGAAAATTAAAATTAAAATTAGATATGGAACTGAAGAGTTCACAAGAATGATACAATAATCATATAATCGTTAAAACGTGCAGCGCAATCGTAAGGTCGGTAAATTGCGCGGAACACATACACAGGTATCATACGCATGCACATAATGATATGCAGTCCTACGTTTACTAAAAAAAAATAACAGAGTAGATCATTCAAGCAAAATATTGCATACACTCTTTCTTAATAATAAGGAAAAAAATTGAGACTCATATCAATTTCAAAAGCGCATTAATAACAAATAAAACAAATTACAGTGAAACTCAGGACCGAAAAAAAGTGTTGACTTCGAGCAAGGTTGACTTTATCCATTGTACTACTCGCCATTGAAAATTGAAGATCACAGCTACAAAATTACAAAGTAACAAGATGTTAGCTCAATCTCAGTGAGTATAATTCTGAAGTTGTCACCAAAACAAGAGATAATGAAAGAACAAAGTAATTGGAGGTGTGTGCACCACTAGCTCAGGACCTAAATATCTCTTCTTAAATGAATTCATCTTGGGATTTAGCCCCAAATTGTTGACTTTACGCAAGGTCAACACTCAAGCGGTTGACTGTATCAGAAACACAATTACTTCAACAAAGAAGGTAAGAAACGGGGCCACGGTGAGGTGTTGACTGTGAGCAAGAGTTCACTTTATCAGAATTTCTACTGTATCTGTTATTACTGATCATTATGCTTAAAACAAAAAGTGAACTTATTTTTGTTTTAGTAAGAGTTTTACGGCACTTGCAACACTTATGTCATAGGCCTATAGTGCCTAAAAGATCAGATGCAACACTTATGTCATAGGCCTATAGTGCCTAAAAGATCAGATGCAACACCTATATAGTGCCTAAACGATCAGATACCTACTAGAAAGTAACATACAACCAAGAAAAAGAGGAGAGATAAGGGCGATGGATGTTTGATAGGAAAGATAAGGACCAAACCATATAACAGTGCACCGCCAACCACCCAGCTTTCTTCCATGCCTGTAAATTTAGAACATATAGGCCATGTGTAATGTATGCCAAGGTGTAGGCCTATTGTTGTAGTCGATTACGTTGATATTGACATGGACATTGACGATTTAGTCGGTTGAGGCTCTGAAGAGCCTGTTCGACTATCTGGTAATGAATGACTATGCATTGCGTGCAGGCTAGACAAATCAGTTTTGGCAAATGGGGTTGTAGATAGTTGGGAGATTTTTCCAGTATTCGTCCAGACGTCTCTTTAATGTGTCCACGTTTGGAGCTGACACCACTGACTCGGGGAGATTGTTCCAAATAGCTTGAACCCGGTTTTCAAAAAAAGTTTGCCCTCTCACACAATCTGCTTCTTTGCTTCTGGAACTTCTCTGAGTTGCCACGGAGTTGTGTGGTTGTTGCCTTTGTAAACGCTGGTCTTTCGGTGATGTAGTAGCCTTTGATGTACTTGCACGTTTCTATCATATCACCACGTAACCTACGATGTTCCAGAGATGAAAGCTTTAGTTTTTTCAGTCTTTCAGAATAAGGCTTTTCTTTGAGGTGACTCAGCATTTTGGTAGCCCGCCTTTGAACGTGTTCGATTTCACTACATAGTCCTTTTTCAAAGGGTTGCTAAACACAGTGTGCATACTCTAATAAAGGCCTCACCAAACTCTTGTACAGCAAAACAAACATATCCTCAGAAAGGTAGTCAAAAGATCGCCTAATAATTCCAACCATGCGGTTCGCTTTTGATGTTATCTGGGCTACTTGCTCCTTGAAGGCTAGTTTATTATCGACCACCACTCCTAAGTCTTTCTCTCTCTCTTTGTTACATTCAGTGTGTGTCTTGAAGTGCCATCATCCACTGCTTGGTTCATCAAGTATTCGTTATCATTGTCTTTGCCAACCTTTAGGACACAACACTTTTGCGGGGGGAAACGAAGTAACCATCGTTGAGACCATTCTTGGAGGGTATAACGAAGTAACCATCGTTGAGACCATTCTTGGAGGGTATCCAAGACATCCTGTAAATCTTGAGGCCCATTCACGGTGTCACTTCTAACGTAGAGCTTTGTGTCATCAGCGAACTTTTTAGCCGTCGTTTTAATTCCTCTAGGAAGATCGTTAATGAAAATTACAAACAAGAGGGGGCCTAGAACTGATCCTTGCGGGATTCCACTTGTAACTTTAGCTTCCTCCGACCGTGATCCATTTAGAATAACCCGTAGTTTTGTGCGGGCCGAAAAGTCCTTAACCCACTTGAGTACTCTCCCTCTAACAGCACATGCTGACCTTAACCCACTTGAGTACTCTCCCTCTAACAGCACGACATGCTGACAGCTTCTGTGTAAGTCGCCTATGGGGAACGGAGTCAAAGGCTTTCTGATAGTCCATAGAAATGACATCCACTGACCCTCCTTCATCCATAACACTCGTCCCATAACACTTGTCCAGTCGTCTAAAGTCTCCAATAATTGTGTTATACAGGAGCGTCCAGTGACGAATCGTGTTGGTCTTTAGAAATCAACTTGTTGTTTACAATATGGTCCATGATGTGCCCTCTTACAAGCTTTTCCATAACTTTGCAGATGACACATGCTAGGCTCACAGGTCCATAATTGTAACTGCCGCCTTGTTACCTTTCTTGTCTATTGGTGAGACAAATGCCGTTTTCCATTCCACTGGCAATACTCCATCATTTTGTGTCCTCCAAAAGAGAATTCTTCGAGGTAGTGTAAGTATGTTAGCTGGCTGGGACAAGACTCAGGGAGGGATGCCCTCTGGTCCTGTTGCTTTGTTGACATCAAGTCTAACCAAAAGTCCTTTTACTGTCACCGTTCCAATATTTCAAGTCTTGAAGTTCTGTGTTGTAGTCATACTCTTCACAGTCTGGGAGTGGTCTTGGGTCCTATTCGTGAAAATACTCTGAAAGAATGTATTTAGCAGTTCTGCTTTCTCTGAATCTGACGTCGTTTTTGTCCCGTCGTCTTCGTTGAGTCCTGCAATGCCGGTCTTACTCTTAATCTTTGATTCGGACAAACTGTATTGGGGTTCTTCTTTGCCTCAATAGCCATTTTCTTTTCATAATTCCTGTTTACCTTCCGACATGTTTCCTAGCCTTGTTGTTGATCTTATTGTATGCTATTTCATCCGTTGTCTTTCCCGTCTTTTGCTATTTCCTGTATTCTCCATGTTTCTTCCTCACTGCCTCTAATGTGTTTTTATCCATGTATCTTGTATTTTTCCTCCCTGAAATATTCATCAGCGGTGTTGAAGCCCCAATGGCACCCTCAATGTTGCTCTTGATGGCAGACCAAGTGTCTTCAACGTTCTTGTTAGCAAGCTCACTCCCCCAGTCATATGCTCCATTAAGGTCCTCCCTCAGTTTCTCAACATCTGTTTTTCTAAAGTTTCTCCTAGTCACTTTTGGTGCGGTACCTGTTGATAACGACCGAGTCATAATTAGCAGACAAAGATGATCACTTTTACCTATACCAGATGCCCAGCTTCGACTTCGATGTCTGTGACCAGCTGTTCAGTATTTTGTAAAGACTATATCTAGAATGTAAGGAGTCTCACAACAATATTGTAATATTATCTTTATATTATGTCCATCTGGACCAGTTCCACACCCGCCCCCTCTCGACCGAGACTCCAAAAAAAAAAAGAAAAAGCACGTATTAAATCAAATTTAAATGATTAATCAGTGTTAGGGATTGTTTTGCAAACTGAATAAGCAGGAAACAGGATTTTTATCTTTACTGGTCAAGGGTCAAGGGTCATTTCCGCTTTTTATCTAAACATAAACAATCTCTGTCAATCTGATGGAAACGAGTCGATAGTCATGGGAGTTTTCTTCTCCAACAACTGAAGGCTAATTTAATCTCTTCGTTTTTGTATAGTGGACCTGAAGATTGTTGATTTGAAATGAAAATACTCACTATTTGTGGATAGCATGTCTTGCTAAAGTCGTCAATGAATCCAGTGGAGTCGGAGTAGAGTTCTAGATCTAGAGTCTAGAGTAGACCAGAGGAACATACAAACAGTAACACGGTCTGGGGAGTACAAAAGACCTTCTACTGTTGATCTGTTGTAGAAGTGACAATTTAGACGAATGAAGTAATTAAGTGTATGAATGAAGAATAACAGTTTACTAGCAGATCTTTTAAATCTGAGGCCTAAAATAGTAGGCCTAGATCTATACCTCCATGATGTGTTTGAAAGACAATGACAAAGGCAGAGAGAGTGATTTCTTGAGGTAGGCCTAGAAATGTACTTCAAACTAAATCTAGATTTAGATCTAGATCTAGA